TGCGTGCGCATATTGCTGGATCATAACCTCATCAGCGTCCGGAGGAAGCACCTGGAAGTGCTCCCTCAACCATGACATCCTCAAAGATGACCCCTGAAGGTCAGTCCGAACAACGAGGCGGACACCAAACAACCGCTCACACTCATCTACCCACTGTCGACAAGCAGTGCTTGTAACAACTCTCCCATCAACCTGTAACCCAGTCAGTATAGCAACATCTCCCAAGGTCACTGTCACCTCACTAACAGGGAGGTGAAATGTGTGTGTCTCCTGCCTCCAACACTCAAGAAGAGCAGTGAGTAGCGCTCTATCGAGGGGGACAGTAGCCTTCAATCTGTGCAGACCATAAAAACCCGCAGCACGAACATAATGAAGTACTCTGTCGTCCGCGTGCATATGCGACAAACCCCGCAGGTGCTCGTGGCACCTATCAACCTGAACATCGAGGCCAAGCCAAACATCCTCACTCCTGTGCGAGGCCTGCAATGTCAGGACATAAAGATCACTTGGCCCAGAATCCGTTGTCACCTCCATGTCTACAAACAAACAAAATTGTATTAGTTAATTTTTACTATTATATTAATTCTTTTTTTTAATCATTCATTTTATTAATTAATATGTTTTCATGCAACGCTAAGATGAATTGTGAATTACTATAATTAAAACCTTACCCACTGGACCCCCCCATCGTGTCTTGACGATCTCTTCGCACATGTGGCCCTATTATGGCCGGTTTGGTGGCATTTTCCACATCTAACCGTTCCTCGGGGACCTTCATCCATCTCATTCTTAATACGTGTGGACTTAGGTCTTCCCTTAACCCGAAGCATGGATGGATCGTGCACGATTTCAGGTCCAGTGTAAGTAGGCCAATAATCACGATCAGGAATGGGTTTGAAGACTCTATGATATGTGGCGGCGTATTGGTCAGATGAGAAAAACTTATCCACAAATGGATCATAAGACAAGCTACGTTGTCTGCACACGGCTAACACATGGGAGCATGGAATCTTATATATCTCCATCTTTTTACAAGTGCAAGTTTTCCGTTTCAAATGGACAGTTTGTTTTCTCCCACCCTTCCCCAACGTTCGGCCACCACAACCGGTTTCCACTTGACATATCCTTCGGCCTAAATCAAATGGAGTAACTGTGTGATGCTTCACCTTCTCTCGATTCTTATCAATTAAATATATGATGTGTGGGAAGTACTCGTGGCCTTCTATCACTCTCATTTTACTGGTTTCACGCCTATTAACAAAATAAGCATTAACCCGGTAAAAGGAAACCTGGACCAAAGCGGTGATGGGCAAATATCTGGCATTTTTCATAACGCTATTGAAAACCTCTGTCAGATTAGAAGTGATGGTACCATATTTTTACCCGCCATCGTGGTGAAATGACCACATTTCCGGGGGGATATTCCCCAGAAATTGTCGTGCCTCCAATCTCATTTCACCTATCTTCTTAAACCCACCGTCAAACTTCTTTTTCTGATGTTGTCGTGCGGTCCAGACAAAAAGATTTTTTAGATGAATGTCTTTGAAATGAGTGTGCACATTCGATGCAAGATGGCGGATACATAGCCTATGATGCGCATCAGACTCCTCTCAAGTACTGCACACCTCATTCATTGCCCTGACAATACCTCCATGCCAATCAGATATGACACACAACTCCCTATTAGTGACAAACTGCCTAATACATGCCATAAACCATGGCTAACTATCCCCATTCTCAGATTCAACAACTGCAAAGGCCACTGGAAATATTTGGTTGTTCGCATCACAACCCATGACCACAAGCAATATACCCTTGTACTTTCCATACAAATGTGTGTCATCAATAGTAAGTACGGGTCGACAATGCTTAAAACCATGTATTGATGTCTTGAATGCCCAAAAAATTTTTTGAAACTGCATATAACCTATGCGAGTATTAGGGGGTGGGTACCACTGCATAATAGTTCCAGGATTTGAATGTTGGAGCGCTGTCTGAAACGGGGCAATTCAGAATATGACTTCTCCCAACCGCCAAATATTTCTGCTATGGTCTTTTGCTTCCCTATCCATGTTCTTCGGTATGATACCGTATACCCATACTTTTCCTTCAGCATCTCAATGATAGTATGCACTTTAAGGGAAGGATCAGTGCGAACAATGTCAATCACATCTTTAGAGATGAAATCTGAAGTCAAAGCCACGTGATCGGTAGGGTCGGTGTTGCCAACACACGTAGCAGAATGAGGTCCAGGATAACGCACAATTGTGAAGGTGTCAAAGTTGCCTTTGTTCTTTGTGGCACGTATTCTCCAGGGGCAATTACATTTTTTCTTCCTTTTGCATTGTGCCACCCATTTGTGTTTATCGGGCTCTATCACCCGATAAAATTGGTCCCGTTTGATAGAATACAAGCTCACCATATTGATGACTTGTTCTTTGTTGTCAAACTGTTGACCGACCTCAAACTCACCTTCGGGGGTAAACCTTTTCTCACCTGATCCACTCATCCAGGCATCAGTAAAGCCTTCAGGGAGATCATACATTCTAGTAAAGTGGCTAGACGGGGCAGTTGTCGTGACCGTATCACCATCATTTTCATCAGATTCTGTCATGTCATCACCATTGATGTTGTCGTCAGGATCATCATCACTTCCCTGCCCATCCACAAATGATGCACTGTTGTGCAAATACCTACTATCTTCCTGTATAACCATGTCTAGTACAGGAGCATTTGAGGAGTTCCCTGCATTGACACCTACATTGACATCATGCCTAGATACAATAGCATTTGATGTTGATGGAGTACCATAAACGTATGAATTCCTCAATATATACCTCCAGCGTGGACATGTCCTCTATCTGAACTATGCCACACATATTTGTTATAGCTAGCTCATCAATGAGGGGCATAAGCATGTACTTTCCCCCGTTCATGGGAAATTTCATTTTCAAACGCAAAGAACGGCTAGGATGAATCATTGTGGCTGCATGTATTTTTTGAAGGATCTCGAGCATGCAAGCGCCACGAGAAACCATGACAAAGCTGGTTCTACCACCTTCATGGCATATTTGCCCAACATCCTCATAATAGTTCCCTCCCCAATGACACACGATTGGGAAGCTTGAGAAATCCATATTCTAATAACAATTCATTGTCTAACTTTCATGAGTAGGCATCAATATACACACTTTATACACATTCAAATTTTCAATAGAAAAAACTACCAAAATTCTAATATATCCAAAAGTCAAAATTTACAAACAATTCACATTTCAATATAAAAATACCCAAATTTTGATATGTACATTCAAGTCTACATTTTAATACCCAAATTTAGCTACATTCAAATCTACCCAAATGCCCAAATGTCAAAATACACATTAAAATTTACAATCAATTTAAAATCAAATTTCAACAATTCATACATATCCACATTTCACAACTGAATTCACAATCAATTCATAATCTAAAAATTCGAAAATTTTAACATTCAAAACCCTAAGTTCAAAATGAGATGAAATGGAGTTTGATTTACCTAGAAGAAAGAAGAAAGAGTGTTGAAGATGAAGATGTAGGTTTGCCGGAGTGGGGTCGCCGGAGATGGAGGTTTGCCGGAGTTGGAAATGGCTCGGTCGTCATTCCTTCTTGCGTCCGTCGTCGCTGCGGCTTGGGGGGATTTGGGAATTGGGTTTACACAGCGTTCTGTTTTGTGACTGGCCGATATTTTTACTTAAGGGAAAGTCGCCCAACGGTTGGACAACTTATTAGTCGCCAAACCGTTTGGTGACTTATAAGTCGCCCAACCGTTGGGCAACTTACCCCGACCATGGTTAACCCAGCAGTATATTGGGTTATGATCGTTAACCCAACAGTATATTGGGTCTACCCAAATGCCCAAATGTCAAAATACACATTAAAATTTACAATCAATTTAAAATCAAATTTCAACATTTCATACATATCCACATTTCACAACTGAATTCACAATCAATTCATAATCTAAAAATTAGAAAATTTTAACATTCAAAACCCTAAGTTCAAAATGAGATGAAATGAAGTTTGATTTACCTAGAAGAAAGAAGAAAGAGTGTTGAAGATGAAGATGTAGGTTTGCCGGAGTGGGGTCGCCGGAGATGGAGGTTTGTTGTAGCTTATGATGATTTATATATTATCTTTTAACCCAACCCTATTTTCGTAAATATTTAATTAATTAATATTAATACGGAAAAAAAACTCTCAATAGACTTTGTTGTTGTAGCTTATGATGGTTGACCGATAATAAGGTAATTCTTCCCCCGTAATAGTCAAATGAGTACTATTATTTAAATGTTAAATGCTTAATTATTTGGAAAACTACATTAAATGTATTTTGAAGCACAAAACCCCAAACTGAATAAAAGCATTAAAGCCTGATACTCAAAATCATTTAACAATAAAGAATTCCGTTAAACTGTTAGACCAATGAATAGTGAAACAAGCAATGGTCATTTGGATGCAGATAGTATATGATTAGTTACATCATGTATTCCTATATAGTTATTCATCTTAACCTTATTGACAACCATCTAAATGTAGTTATTATTCTAAATATAAATAAATATCACTAATCCCCTTCCCACCCCTCTAGAACCCCTGAACCAAACAAACCCAGTAGGGGTGTTGGCCAGTTTTTAGTTTTTCATGGGGAGTTGGGGACATGTTGAATATATATCACATTAATAAAAATCAAAATAGTTTTAGAAATGAAAGCCCATTAGGGGTGGTTGCCAGTTTTTAGTTTTTATTTCAAGTAAAAACTATAAACCAGATTTCAAAAACGAAAAGGTGGATTCATTTCTTTGTTTTCAAAGTTAACATAATTAGCATAAATATGAATAGTTCCTGTTTATAATGTACTACGTATTATATATTTTATCTTTTAGAAACACAAATTCAAAAATTGAAAACCAGAAACAACCCAGACCCCCCCCCCAAACCTTAAGAATCTAAGATATCACCTGTCATCAACAAAAATACAGCTGGCTGGCTCAACGTCTAGATGTTTCAGAACATCCAAGTAAAAATCACGATCAGGCTTCCGCTTTCCTATGCACAACAAAAGATGATAGAAAACTAAGAAAACGTGCATCATGTTTGACGTATAAGATGGAAAAAACATTGTTAAGAATCTACATTGAAATATTAGAGAGATAGATAAGATTATAAGATGTTTGCTTAAACAAGGCATTTTTTTTGGATCCGGTCCTTTTAGTGTTGTTTGACCCAGGTGCATGATGGACATTAAAGTGACCACAACCCAATCCTGAATTATATTAAAGAAAAACTATGACTAGAGCATTTTTACTAGAAATATCACTAGAGAGGGTACCCATTACACAGGAGCAGAATGTCCAAGATAAATAATTCGAAAGTTTCAACTTCTCTTCAATCATTGTGTACCTGGGAAGAAAAGAAAACAATGTGAAGAAATTCAATAACGATGAGTTTGCAAAATTAGCTAGATTTATATTGAACGCACCATATAGGATAGTTTGTGAAAGCATGGATTTCATAGCCATTTGCCTTTAACACACCAAGTAATTTCTCAACGCCTTCAATGTAAGAATATCCTCTTCTTTTACAGTTCTTGAGGCCTATGAGCAAAATCTCTTGTCACTTATTTTGCAATGAGATGGTTCTATAGACCAACATATAAGCTATTTTACGGGTACTATGTGATTTACAATCTCATTTACCTTCGAGATCAAAAGATCTCCCGTCTTTAAAAAAAATTCTTTCTAACTCAGCCTGAAAATAAAATATAAACATTATGAAGCCATGATTTGTCATGTCGTGAAAAGCAACTACTGATCGAGTACCGACTTCAGTCTTCAATGCATTGACATTTGACCAAATATAGTATGTAAACTAAGGTGGAGAATATTGTAATTTAAAAACAACAGGGAAGACAACATGTAAGCCTAATGTCAAGACTATTTGGAATATGGTTGGATCTAACTCTACCCTAAAAGAACTCTCAATAGCTGATGATTGTCCAAAGCATGAAAAAGAAATTTCCCTAAATAGAAGTAAAGACAAGGTATTTTCCCTTAATAGCAGCACAGTGTGTTCTCCTAAACAAGAGTAAGTATTGTCACCTTGAAATTAAAATGCCATGTTATGGCCCAATGCCATATTAACGCTTGATAATGTCATAATATGACAATATGATTTCAGAATGACAATAGTTTGCTCCTTTTTAAGAACAATATAATTTCAGGATTGCAGTACTTCACTTCTATTTAGGGGAAAACATAGTACTCAAATTTAGAGAAATCACTTTGTTTTTACTCCTTTTTTGGGGAATTTCATAAAAAGGTATATCCATTCATATGTAGCAAAGTAAAAACTCTTTAGAACCCTCATTGTACACGTCACAGGCAGACAAAACTGTTACAGTGAAATTTTTTCATAAGAGACCCACTCATGGATATGTGACTATGCCTCAGACTGGCTCTGCTATCAAACTAAGGACTAAAATGAGTCTAACTGTACTAAAAAAAGCTTGAAGGGTGTTTAACGCTTATTAAGCTATCATACAAATTTAATTAGGCAATGTAGAAGGCTCTTAAAAAAAGAACAATAGCATGAGCTAAGTGTATTAAACAAATATGAAAATATTCCAAGATAAAGTTTTAAACCAAGAGTCCAAGATTTTATTCATAAAGCACTTCTGGGGAATAATTACAGCCTTACAGGCGACAACTTATCTATTCCTCTGGCATGTCTGCAACTAAGATGCAATTAGCAGCAAGGAAATACAACTATACAACAACGGCATCCAAGCTTTATTCCTAAAAGAGTTTAGGGTCAGCTAACATGAATTGACATATGATATCGGAGTTAGCATTAAACAAATGAAGTGAAAATTCCATAACAATTTTATAGACCTCACTTATCTTCCCCTTTTCAAACTCAATCCATGCAGTTGGATGCTTGCTTTCTAGCAATTCCTCCATGGTCATTCTGAATTAAAAAACGTAGATTATATACAAGCATATGAGAAATTAGAGCCCGTTTAGTAACCATTTTTCAAGTTATCCGCCTAATCAGCTAACTTTTGAACTCTTTTTTTATTTCACTAGCTGAATTGAATAATACTCAAAGTTACTACCATTTTTTAGCTATGTTTAGTATACTTCTTTGCGAGCCTTTATTACACCCAATTTATTTTTAATAACCTCTAGGCGATCTTTTATTTCGCTTGCACTTTTGTATATTCCAATTTCTTCGATACTTTCCTCTATTGCTAAATTTTGGGACCCAAAGCTTCGTTAGTTCTGATAGAAGTTAAAAAGGGAGAAAGTCAGGTGAAGGAGTGGAGTAAAGTACCGGAAGAAGGCGGGGACATCGTGATAAAATGGGTCGCGAACAATGGTGTCCATGACGTCAAAGAGCAACACGGGCAGCTTGCGTTTGGGGTTAGTCGCCATTGTTGAGGAAGAGGCACTGCCGTTCCTCGTGATACAAAGAGCCGTTCTTGCAGGTGCTGAGCCTTTTGCGATGAAAGAGGGCAGGCTGCAACCGTAAAACGCCAGAGATGGGACTGGGGCTATCCGCCAAGTGGGTGACATGATGAATATAGACATGTCCTCCAGCCTCTACCCATTTGATGGGAACCACTTGTACATTCTGTTTTATAGGTAAAGAAATGTAAGATACATATTTTTCCATTTATTTTAGTAGGTAGAGGATGTCAATTGACTGCATCAACTTGTATGACATGCATCAATTAATTTGTATGAGATGGAGTAAAAACTAAAAAGTACACCATATTGCATTCGATCTATTTAAGCACACAAACTCGATTTTTTAGCGTTAATTGAGTACACTCATTAGATTAACACGTTAATACGGCTGAGTTTGTTAATAGAATGCTAATAGATCGACTTCCTGAGAGTCGACGCCAGCCCCAACCCCTTGATCGACTTCCCCTTGATCGAAGTCAAACATCCGCAGGTCGATCTCCCCTTGGTCAATGCACCCCTGTTGGCCGACACTCCCGCCCTACCCCCCGCAGGTCGACCTCTGAAGGTCAATTTTCTCTTTTTGGTCGACTCCGAAGGTTGGCGCCATAACCTTGGTTCATTATCCCCTCTTACTTCGCATTCTGTTAGCCAACTCAATCATATTAACGTGTTAATCTTACGGGTGTACTCAATTAACACTAAAGATCCAAGTTTGTGTACTTAAAAAGATCAAATGCAATATAGTGTACTATTTACTTCACCTCATACAAGTTGATGTACTCAATTGACCCTTTCCTCTTTATTTCAGTGTCATTGTTATATTAGAAATGTTTGGTGTGCACATTTTTATGTATATCTTTCGTACATTCGTTTGTGTCACGCATAAAAAATTGTCTGTCCACAGACAACTCTGTCTGTGTGAGACAGACGAATGTACAAAAAGTGTATAAAAAAATGAGTACACCACGCATTCATCTTGTTATGTACACTTTGTACCCCTTCATAATATTGAGAAATGATGAGGTAACACGTTTAGTAACAAAAGTGAGTTTATGTGATTGATTTTGAATTGATAAAGGGCGTGTTTGACATTTAGCTATTAGCAGGTTATGTTAGCGGGTTGTCAATAGTGGATTCAATCAGCGGGTTTGACTAGCGCAGTAAGTTTGTGGATTGCGAGAAAATGTTTGGTAATGTAGTCAGGGGCGGGTCCAGAAAAAATTGTTGTTGGGGCATCACCTTATATGCATCAAATTATAAACATCTAATACTCTAATATTTATAGTAATTTGTAACAAACGATAATGCTTATTGTGTACTAAAATTGAACAGATCACTTAAAAATTGAGTTCTTTTTTTATATAGTTGTGTATGACACTTTTATCGTTCTAACTCTATTTGATTAAAAACAATCCTTAATTAATGACAATTCTTACTATTATCACATGCACAACCCTCCATTATGATAAGATTGTCTCATTTTTCTTTTTTTGATATGTCTCATGTACTAAAATTGTCTTATACCGAATTTGATAATGTTTTGTTTAGATCATTCTTACTTTATTGTTATTTATCTGCACTAATCAAACAAGTCACACAAATTTACTGTTTTTAATAACAACACTGCTCCTTTTCTCAACAAAAAAAATAACAGCACTACTATTCATGTACCAAATTAAGCGGTAGGGAGGTAGTATTTATAATTTGAAAAAAAAAACTGAATTTGGAAAACAATGTCAAATAAAATGGAAATTTTTCCTTATCAGTACGTATGAAATGCCATAAGTGTTTTTTGAAAGGGAAAACTATCAAATAAGTCCCCTTACTATACCGAAAAAGTCGATTAGGCCCTCGTACTTTACAAACACTCAATTAAGTCCTCGAACTATTAAAAAACGTTCAATTAAGCCCTTTCGGTCGGTAAGTAACCGGTTTCCCGGTTAAATGTAACTCGTTTCCCGGCAGCCGCCGTTGTTGGGGTTCGAGCACATCGCCGCCGTTGTCACCGTTTAACCAGTAAACCGGTTACTTACCGACCAAAAGGGCTTAATTGAACGTTTTTTAATAGTTTGAGGACTTAATTGAGTGTTTCAAAAGTACGAGGGCCTAATCGACTTTTTCGGCATAGTACGGGGGCTTATTTGATAGTTTTCCCTTTTTGAAATAATTTTAAAGATTATGTTATGTTTTTAAAGGTACTAATTGCTTATGGTATATCTATATAGATAATACAATTCAAGGTTACAATTAGGGAAAGTTTGCCATGTGTCATCTTCTAAGCAAATTTAGCATACTAATTATATATACTTCGTTTACATTAATTTTACGTAATTTCAGTTATATTAGAACTAATGTCACGTTAATACTAAGCTATTGGAATCCTACCTAATTATAACTTTCTAAAGGTATGTAATTCAAAAAATAAATAAAATCCCATATTTATTTTAATGTGATATAATTTTTTTTATTTGTAGTCCGATTGTTACAAAAAATATATCATAATTCATAACTTTGCATTATCTTTCATATGACACCAATATTGCATATATAAAAAAATCTATTAAGTTTTGGCAATTTAGATCGTTTTTTACGGGATGCACAATTAATGAGGACTGATACTTTCAAATAAAACCTCACAAATTCCATTACTTTTATTTATTGTTTTATTCTTTGTGGTAGAATATGCGCAGTTTTATTCTAAGCTATCACTTCGATAAATGGTGTGCGACTGTGCGTGGTAAAAAACGATCACAAACTCCACAAATTAATAGGTTTTATTTTTATAAGTAACATTGCTGTTATATGAAAAGTAATAAAATTTCAGGAATTCTGATATATTTTTTGTAATAATCGTAGTATAAATAAAAAAAATTATACTCCGTAGCACTTAAGAAACTGAAGTTTTAAAGTGTTGAATTATTTTTTTTATATTCAATATTGGTGACATATAAAAGATAACAAAAAGTTATTAATTTTGATATATTTTTTGTAACAATTGTATTAAAAACAAACAAGTTATAGCATATTAAAATAAATATGAGATTTTATTTTGATGGGCCCCCGATGAATTCTAATTGAACACGATAAAATTACCTTAATTTATAATTGTATCTTTAAATTTTTAAAAATAATGGTTTGAGTAATTCTGTGTAATACATATACGGTGTGATATATTATAAGTGATAAAAAGCTACTCTCTTCGAGTTGAGGAAGTGGTCCAGCCTAGCTGGTCCTGGACTCACTCTCCCTTATGGGAGGTCCCGAGTTCAATTTTCAGTGGAATGAGATTGATCTCAGTTTACCTCAGGCTCTTCAAACCCCCTCCCCCCAACGCCCCCTGAGATTGTTGAGCTAAAATAGAATTGCTTAGCCTATGGTATTCATTTTCCAATTATAAAACTGCACCCATATAGATTTAATAATATCAAAGTACTTAAAAACTCAAATTTTCATAAATTATTATATGGATCATACCATATATAAGTCTATAACAGAGAATACAAGCTTACACGTATAACTTTTCCAGTAACATATCTATTACTCCCTCCGTCCCTTAACTTTGTCATCTTTCCTTTTTGGGACATCCCAAAAAACTTTGCCAGTTTCATTTTTAATCAATTATTTTGTGGTTCCCGTTATTTCTCTCTCCTCTGCACAAACCTCAACCATACAGTTTTTACTTTATTATTCTCCGTGCCGGTCAACTTTGACAAAGTTTTAAGGGACAGAGGTAGTATATTTATATTCTTCATATCATACTCAATTATCTTAATTATAAATATTACTGACCTCCAAACCTGAAATACTCGGACATGTATTGTAACACAAATCTTTGATGTTTTCTTAGCATGAATCCAAGTATCTACTTTTTCAAAAGGCAACGTGCACACGTTGTAGAATTATATATCGAAAAATATCGCATCCTAATAGATCTTAGTGTCTTTTGAAGATATAATTGATGTATGACAAAACAATAATATTATCACCCAAACTAATGCATTTAAAGTAACTCTTTCATTTACGTATTCTTGACATGAAAATCAGAAATCTAAAAGTCTTATACGAGACAAAATTCAAAACTCACAACAGCAAGAGTCGATTACAATCACATCGAAAATATCCATTTTATGTGCAATGGTGAACCCTCACAAGTTGACACAATCTCTTTAAATAAGGGTGTGAAGATTCTATTCTAATTTTGTATACAAATGTGGAAATGAAATGAAAAATTTGAAACTAAAGTGGAAAGAGAACCAAAAAATACTCAATAAGATGGAAGGTTATAGTAAGTAGAGTGAAAGAAAAGAATTAGTACTACGTGATGATGTAGAAGGTAAAATAGTAGGATTTCATAATCGTATGACTAGGGAAAAAACCCTTTAAATATTATTTAATTCAATATAATAACTACAAGTACTAAATGGAAATGAAAGTGCAACACAAGAAAATAAAAATCATTTAAGCACACCCACAATTCATTTCAATAAAATTGGTTAAAAAATTACAATAACTTCCAAATCATTCATGAAAATGAAAGTGAGAAAAATGACTATAACAAAAACTGCATGTGTTAATATGTGACACCGCACCCGAATGTCCTTGGAAATTTGATTTGAATATTCATAGCTTATGTATTGGATTTCCGATTCCCAAACATTTTGTAAAACGATCAATGTTCTACGTAGTGCATGGTTGAATATCGTACTGTTCAAACTCGTACATTAGTGTCGGGTTTCGCAAATACTTACTCGGGACTTATTAATAAATAAAAAATCCCAACATTACCTAAATAGTGAAAGAATGATTAAAGGAGAATACAAATGTCTATAACCCCATCTTTGGCATTATTGAGCTAAATAATGGGAGTAGGATTTTCCTTCTAAAATATCCATCAAGTAAATTATTGGGATGAGCCTACACATATTGGAGATCAATAATGTGATTTAGGAAGTTGACTTGTTCTAAATAAATTAGGATGAGTACAAAAAGACATCTTTGACAAAGATAAAACAATAGGACCCATCTTCCCATTTTTGGAAGTATTGGTAGATATTTTGGACCCCAAATTTAATGGGATCAATTGGGAACCACTCCACATGATATTAGTACCTGCAAAACAAATAAAAATGGGTTAGAA